CTGCCTTCGTGGCTCTTAGGGTTCTAACTTTGACTTCAGCAACCCCAACCACTCCCTTTCTGTATGTCTAGTCAGTATTTGTCCCCTTTTGGTGTTTTATGAAGCTATATCAGTGAATCTGGATCATCTTTCCTACTTGAGTGGCCCAAAGCCAGCACCAAAACCTGGTAGTCCCTGAAGCCTAACAGAACAGGTAGAAGCTGCCAAGCGAAAGGAATTTGGCTGAGAGTTCCGTTCTAATCCCATAGTCATTATTGTGTCCTCATAGACAAGGAGCAAGCTAGCTTTCCCAAAGAGAGAGTGTCCTCAAAGCTTTTGATGGTTTTTACTTAAGGATGTGAGCTTTGTGTTTTCACCTAACCTTATGAAATGTTCCTTTAGTATTTTGGGTCGTAGGAGTTGCCTTGATGAGTCTCACATCCTCCCTCCTTAGAAACTGCTAAATTAATTTTTGTTTCATTTTCCCCAAACCAAAAAATGAATGTTTGATATCTCTTTAATATTTTGGAAGGACCTGTGCAATGGAAATTTTGCCATTTCCCTAAAACTGGTGGGATAAAGGCTGATGCTTGGGGAAAACCCCATGGCTGGGGATGGGCAACTCTGTTCAATGGGATTTTCTTTGGTTTGATGTTCCCATTGTTTTCTCAATTCTGGGAAGCCTAGTACAATGGTACTAACATAATCACTAAAGCCTTTTCTTAAAATAAGGGAAGGGGCCAACCCCGGATTAAAGTTACAAGTTCTGGGGACTTGGGGGTTTGCTGTAAACCCCAGCGGTGGGTTTTGGTTCATCATGTAAATGCACCTTTGATTTTTTTTAAGGACTGACTGGCTTTTCACGTTCCTGTATCCCTCATACCATCTCAGCAGGCCTGAGAGGCAGGCTCAGTTTGGGTGTTAATCCTGAGTATTGCTTCTGCTGTGGAACTGAGGAACAGGGGCATGTTGCTGAGACAGGGATGGAAGTGAGCATGGAAGGGAGGAGAGAGCACTGCTCTTGTTCCGGAGGGGAGCCATTCTCTAGCAGGGGAACACTGCTCATTTTCTCTAGCATGTTCCCTCGGGAAGTCTAGTTTGCTGTTAATCTGGCTGAGAATCTGAGTTCTGTGCCTTAGAGACAATTTGCACTTTCCCAATTGTGCCTGGGACAGCCATATGATTTTTCCCACCAAATAGCTATGCAAACAGAAACCAGTTCAAAGGTGGCAGCCATGCATTAGATAAAAATGAAAGGCAGCAGAAATGCCTTTGAATGGTTTTCTGTAGCTAATTCTCTTGAAGTTTGTCCTGCTTTTCTTTCTGCAGCACTAGGTGTTTTCAGTTTCCCAGTAGTATTGCTTTTGAGTTATAGTATAACCTGAGTTACTCCTCTGCTCGGATATTGTTGCTGAAGAACTAGCTCATTGTTAGCCAGATGTTTGAAAGGTTGAGGGTGGAGTGGTTTGGCATTTCTGTTTTAAATAAACATTTAAACTCTCAATCAGTGCTATGCCTGCGCATGGACCTTAGTCACTGGGGATGAAACACCCAGATATTAGGCCTTCGTGAATCTTTGATTCAATGAGTCTTTATCTAAATAAATAAAAGACCTTGTAACGGAAACAATGCAAGGGACATTTGCACAAATAATCTTTGCTTTTTTTTCCGGTTTTTCTTGCTAACAATAATTTCTGCTGCTACAACTTTCCCCCCCCAGACTTCTCAAATATAGTGCTTAAAGTGCAGAGGGAGGAAAAAAATGAGCCACTGAAAGAGGAAGGAGCATTTCTTGTACTTAACCTCCTCAATCACAGTGGGTTTTTTCAAGTGATAATGTGTATCTGTGTTTACAAAACTGTTTTCCCTCAAAGAGGGTGAACTGTATTTGGTCTCCCTGGCATAGCACAGCCAAGTTATCACTTCTCTTGGCTGAGCATTTCACTAAAGTATAAAGTAAAAGCGGCCTTAAACTCACATTTCATTTGATTTGCCATATATTTGGAAACATCCATAATAGAAAGAACAGCTCTGGAGCAAGGATGTATTATAAATAAATTCTTTCAAATGAGTATCCCTGGACCTCCAAAGAAGTATTATTCATTAGTGGCCAGCAGACTGGGCTGTCGTCAGGACTACAAAACAAGTTCCTTCCTGCCACAAAACCAAAAATCATTTATTACTTCAATGATTAACTATGGAAATAAACATGCTGATCACTAAACCTCACAGACTCAGGAACATGAGAGAGAAAAACACTATGTCACGTCTCTGCTACTTCCTGTATAGTCGTGAAGAATGATAAATTAATGACCAAAAGCAAATGTTGGCCAAAAGGTACCATGCTGCATTAAATACCCTGCTGTTAAGAAGTACTATTTCAGCACATCTGCATATACTTTTATATGAAGTGAGTTTCACCATGAGATTTTCTTCCCATTGCTTAACCTTTTGAACTTTAAAATTTATAACATTTGCTTGTACTGAAGGCTCTTGGATAAAGTATCACACGTGGACAGTACCAAGCAGCATTATCCACTGTCTTCCTGTGCTATCCAGGAAGGGACTTAGGTAGAAAAACAGTTCTGACCTCTTCCCAAAGAGCAGATCAAGCTAAATTCAAAAGGCTAATAGGTATTCCTAATCTAAGCAAGGCCTATGCATTATTAAGATTGGAGGGAACACTGAGGCATTGACTATTGCCTTACTTCTCCAGCAATATAAGAATGAGCAACTGCTTCCTGTGTCTACAGAAGGCATTCTCCACACATACATTTGTTCTCCCCAGAGGGCCCTGACCTGTGAACTTAATCACATCATCCAGGATCCCAAACCCAAGTGCCCGTGGGGCCAGGCAGGAAAGGTGAGTAAGTGCAGCGGGCCAGGTGGGGCTGTGGTGATGGTCGAGGTCAGCCTGTCTGAAGGAGCCCGCGGTTGGGGCCATGCAGGGTTGCTGGCCTGGCATTTCCAGAACGTCTGGCTTTTCAAGAGATTCTCCATATCCCAGCTTTTAAATGTCGGATCTATGTCAAATTGTAGGACAAAGCAGTCCACAGGCTACCACTGCGCGGCCTTGGCCACAGCTCATTCTTGCCATCTGCTGCTTTTACCCTCAAGTGTGAAACTTAACGGTTCGTACTTCACTAGACTTGCCTGGGGAGTGTATATACTGGGTTAAATAGGCAGTGTGTATGTGAAGTTTCAAGTGGCCAACCTAAGGCCCCACTGTGTGATCCCTCCTTTTCTTTGCAACAATTAAGAAGAGCATAAAGCAATTCAATAGGTACTGTTTTTTAATTTTTTTTTTCAGCCTAGAGCCCTGCAGCTTTACAGCTGAAGCCTTAAATTTGCATTTCAAATTGGTCTGATCTATTAGCCCAGCCATTCAGCAGAAGCTGCAGAGGAAATGGAACAAAAGTGAGTGGTCATTTGTTGTTAGTAGAACATGGTTTTATTGTCTGCTTAGTCACCCTGGCCCACATGAGGTTGGGTGTTTTTTCTCCAGTATTTTTTTTTTTTTAAAGATTTTTTATGTATTTATTTGACAGACAGAGACACAGCGAGAGAGGGAACACAAGCAGGGGGAGCGGGAGAGGGAGAAGCAGGCTTCCCGCGGAGCAGGCAGCCCGATGCGGGGCTCGATCCCAGGACCCTGGGATCATGACCTGAGCCAAAGGCAGACGCTTAACGACTGAGCCACCCAGGCGCCCCTTCTCCAGTATTTTAAACTAACAATTTTTTTTAAAGATTTTTTTAAATTTATTTGACACAGAGAGACACAGCGAGAGAGGGAACACAAGTGGGGGAGTGGGAGAGGGAGAAGTAGGCTTCCTGTGGAGCAGGGAGCCCAATGCGGGGCTCGATCCCAGGACCCTGGGATCATGACCTGAGCCAAAGGCAGACGCTTAACGACTGAGCCACCCAGACGCCCCTTAAACTAACAATTTGAGTGATGCTCTCAGGACAATAATCCTACTGTTATTTCAGATCTGTTGTTCTATCTTCATCCTATCTCAACTGATACTACCCCTGACAGGCATTACCTTATCATTTCTCCCATCTGACCAATCTAGGACTTACTCATTTTATTATTTAATTTTAAATCCCCAAACCCATTGATTGAAGGTCTAATTGTGAAGAGTACCTGCAGTATGCACAATTCTGCACAGAAAAAATTTAACAGATCCGGTATCTTTTTCATCAGAGTTTACTTTCTAAAAGAGAAGTTCACTGTGGTATAATGGGCAGGGATATGTGACATGGCAATGTCCCAGCTTGCTTTGATGGTAGATTTTACTGCCGCATTTAAAAAGCCATACACCCAACCTGATTTCAAAGCAGAATGCCAGCAATAGCTGAAACTGAAGTTCTTTCCTTCCTTCCTTTTTTTTGCGGGGGGGTGGGAGGGAACATATGAAATCCTTTAGCAAAGTGCAACTACTGAGGGCGCCTGGGTGGCTCAGTCATTGGGCGTCTGCCTTCGGCTCAGGTCGTGGTCCCAGGGTCCTGGGATTGAGCCCCACATCGGGCTCCTGCTCGGCGGGAAGCCTGCTTCTCCCTCTCCCACTCCCCCTGCTTGTGTTCCTGCTCTCGCTGTGTCTCTGTCAAATAAATAAATAAAATCTTTAAAAAAAAAAAAAAGTGCAACTACTGAGGCATACAGGATGCTCTCTCCCATCCCTACCATGTAAAGCACATAAAGATGAGGTTCCTTTTACGGCACAGGACACCACAAGGAGGGTTTAGGATATACTGGTGCCCTAACTTTACATACTGGTATTGGCTTTTGGCCAGGACCATACATCACGGAGGTCAAGGATAAATTTCCATTTGCCTTACAGCAAAATCGTATTATCTTTTGTAAGAGATACCACCTCGGTGATCATGATCGTCTGACACCAACTCAGTCTCATGAACCAACGTCTTGCAAGGGCAAAAAGAGTTAACAAGAACCAGGCATACATGCAGAGGCAGGGCAAGAAGGCACAGCAAACACAGGCACTTAGCACAAACCACAAGTCAGCCTTGCGAGAAGAGAGCTTTAATGTAGGCTGCTCACTACTCCTGAGAGTCTTCGCCCATCAGTTCTTAGGGCAATGACAAGGCACACCAGCCTGAGGCGGTAATTTCGTGGGAAGCTGAGGCTTCCTTTTGCCTCCTGCTGCTTAGCAATGGGTCTCTCCTCACTGATTTAAGCTCTGCAGGCAGATGTGGGAGATGTAAAAGTTTTAGTTCTGTTTTGCATCAAATTATTCTACTCCCATTTACTGCTGAAGAGAAGCAGAGCCTTCTGAGGCTTCCACTGTTGTCCGCTCAACTGTAATGCTTCCTTGGAGGTGGAGGCCGGTTCCTAATGGTCTTACACTTGGGAACGTGCCGCTCGGCAACCTTGGGAGCAAAGTGGCGGCTACAGTGAGGACACTGAATATAATCTGGATTTTCTGCAGGCAGGATGGGAGGCAAGTCTGAGGGGTTTCCACCTTTGGCAATGACCTGCTGGACCTCTCGAGCCTGACGGAGAGTACGGATGAAAGACTCATGCTTCTGTCTCCAGTTGCTCTTCTGAGGAGGTTCAGCCTGTAAGTGGGAGGAAGACTGATCATTCAACTTGGCGTTTACCACATCTCCTTCTGAGTCTTCATCAGAATGACAGTAAGGAAACGGAAAGGGTGTTCATCCATAAGATCAAAGAGAACAGGAAGGGAGCAACAGAGCTGACTTGCCAGAGTGGAGGCACTTAAAGCTAAGGGCCTGCCAAGGGGGGATAGTACTGAGAGGCTTGGTGCTTATAAGTACAGGCAGTGGAGAGGGAAGAGGTGCAGGGCTGAGAATAAATTGGATCCCTGGGGCTCCTCTCCCACCTTGTACATCCAAGTGTCTGTCACTTCCCGCACTCTCAAAGGAGAACAGGGGTTTATTCTCTGGAGGAACTGCACCAGACAGGTTTCAGACTCAGGAAGTCCAGGCATAGTGGAGAACAGGGTAATATTGAGGCTGAAAGTTGGGATTAAGTGCAAGTATACGTGATGAATTATGGAACTGTTGGCCTCCTTCCCCCACTCAGCTCCCAGGATATCAAACACATTGGCACCCTCATAGGAGATAGGAGTTCTCTGAATGCACCAAGGAGTCGAGAGAAAAGCCATTAGATGCTGACCCTGAGTGACTCCAATGAAAAGGCTCACTATTTGATAACCCTAATGTGAAGGCCTTTAGTCAACATGCCCCACTTAAGCTTAAATATGAATGGACAACCTGTGATCACCAGATATTTGAGTAAAACTCTTAACAAGAGAGAAACTATAACAGGTACATGAATTCTCTCTCTCTCTCTCTCAGGAAATGGATAAGACTTGGGGCGCCTGGGTGGCTCAGTTGGTTAAGCAACTGCCTTCGGCTCAGGTCATGATCCTGGAGTCCAGGGATCGAGTCCCGCATCGGGCTCCCTGCTCAGCAGGGAGTCTGCTTCTCCTTCTGACCCTTTTCCTTCTCGTGCTCTCTATCTCTCATTCTCTCTCTCTCAAATAAATAAATAAAATCTTTAAAAAAAAAAAAAAAGGAAATGGATAAGACAGGTAAAAGAAAACTGAAAACCAGAGAACCAGAAAGAACTATTATAAATTAAAACTGTGATAGCTAAGGGGCGCCTGGGTGGCTCAGTCAGTTGAGCATCTGACTCTTGATTTCAGCTCAGGCCATGATCTCAGGGTCATGGGATCGAGCCCCATGTCGGGCTCCATGTTCAGTGCGGAGTATGCTTGTCCCTTTCCCTCTGCTCCTCCCCCTGATCACTTGCTCTTGCTCTTTCTCTCTCAAATAAATAAATGAAAATCTTTATTTAAAAAAAAAGACCATTTAAAAAAACTGATAGCTAAAAATAAAAATAGAAATGTAAAATGTCAAGAAAATTACTCAGAATGGGAAAAAAGATCAAGATGGAAAGTAGAAAAGATTAGGAAATTAGAAAGCCAATCCAGGAAGTCCAACACCTGACCAAAAGGAGTTCCAAAAAGCATAAAAAAAGCACACAGAAGAAATTATTAAATAAATAATACAATAAACATTCCTAGAATTAAGGTCACTGCTCTTGAAATTGAAATAGTCTACCAAGTATCCAACACAATCATTGTAAAATTTCAGAATTTCAGAATAGAGAGAAGCCTGTAAGCTTTCAGAAAAAGAGAAACACCAAAAGAGGTTTCATACAGTGGAGCAGGAAGCAATATGGCATCAGATTTCTCAACAGTAACACTGGATGCTAAAAGCTAGGAGAAAACCCCTTAAAAGTTCTAACAGAAAATCATTTTCTACCTAGAATTCTATACGTGGTCAAATCATCCATCAAATATAAAGCTATTGTATAGATATTTTCATTCATTCTGAGACCAAAAAAAAAAAAAAAAGCTTCCCATGCACGTTTCTTGAAAGCTTCAGCAAAGCAAGAAATAAAACAAGAAAAAGGAAGACCTAAGAAGGTGGAAACAGGACCCAAGACAGAAGAGAAGCAAAAAGAAGTCCCGAAACAATAGGTCTGCACCAGGCCTACAAAATAACCAGTCCAGACTGGTGCAGGAGGAAAAAGGAGTGATGGGAGGGAAGTTTCCAGAATAAGAAAAAAAAAAAAAAATCAATGGATTAGGTGTTTGAGCATTTACAAAAATGCTAATAGGTGCCTGACATCAGATAGCTCATTTAGGAAAAAAAAAATTATAATAAAAAATTACTTAAAAAAGATTAGAGTAGGAAACCAAGCAAATGAAAACATGAGTCAGCTATTAATTCCAGGGACATGTGTTCACTCATCAGTGAACAAAATTTACATGGTTATTATAATGTAAAAGCTGACTACTGGTTTAACCCAAAATTGTGATTCCACTACAATGGAAGGAGAAGGAAGGAGAAAAGTAAAAGGAGAGGAGATGTGAAAGAGAGCTTAACCCGAAGCATTCATAGCAGGAAGTCAACAGATAATGTGCAAAACTGATTAATCAAGAAAATAAGCATATTATTGAGAAATATGAAAACGCATACCAGAAGAGTCATCTATCAGGACTGAAGACTGCCACTGGGGGCCAGATTAGGATGGAAAAGGGTAAGGCAGGATCCTGCTTGTTGCCTTATAGGTCACTTAGTACATGATTTTTTAAATGTATTCAAATATTATTTAAATTAATATAAAATTAATTTTAAAAAGAAAAAAGAAAGGCAAGTAGCTGTTTGGTGATCTGATATCATTAATGATGAATGACAGGAAGAGATATTATCAAAACAAAAGGATCCTCCAGGAGAGAGTGTTACTGAAATAGACAAGAAGGCAAGAGAATTTGTGTGTTAGAGACGGTATCCAGGAACTTTTTTTTTGTTTAAGATTTTTTGTTTATTTATTAGAGAGAGAGAGAATGGTAGAGGGAGAGCATGAGAGGGAAGGAGGTCAGAGGGAGAGGCAGACTCCCTGCTGAGCAGGGAGCCCGATACGGGACTCGATCCTGGGACTCCAGGATCATGACCTGAGCCAAAGGCAGTTGCTTAACCAACTGAGCCACCCAGGCATCCGGTATCCAGGAACTTTTTAAAAGAATTAGGGGATAAATACCCAGTAGTGCAATTGCTGGGTCACAGGGTAGCTCTATTTTTAAATTTTTGAGGAACCTCCACACTGTTTTCCAAAGTGGCTGTACCAACTTGCATTCCCACCAACAGTGTAAGAGGGTTCCCCTTTCTCCACAACCTCTCCAACATTGCCATTCTAACTGGTGTAAGGTGGTATCTCAATGTGGTTTTGATTTGAATTTCCCTGATGGCTAATGATGATGAACATTTTGTCATGTGTCTGTTAGCCATTTGTATGTCTTCTTCAGAGAAGTGTCTTTTCATATCTTCTGCCCACTTTTTGACTTATTTGTTTTTTGGGTGTTGAGTTTGAGAAGTTCTTTATAGATCTTGGATACCAGCCCTTTATCTGTAGTGTCATTTGCAAATATCTTCTCCCATTCTGTGGGTTGCCTCTTTGTTTTGTTGACTGTTTCCTTTGCTGTGCAGAAGCTTTTTATCTTGATGAAGTCCCAAAAGTTCATTTTTGCTTTTTTTTCACTAGCTTTTGGAGATGTATCTTGAAAGAAGTTGCTGTGGGCGATGTCAAAGAGGTTACTGCCTATGTTCTCCTCTAGGATTTTGATGGATTCCTGTCTCACATTGAGGTCTTTCATCCACTTTTGAGTTTATCTTTGTGAATGGTGTTAGAGAAAAGAAGGGCCATATGCACCCCAATGTTCATAGCAGCAATGTCTGCAATAGCCAAACTGTGGAAAGAGCTGAGATGCCCTTCAGCAGATGAATGGATAAAGAAGATGTGGTCCATATATACAATGGAATATTACTCAGCCATCAGAAAGGATGAATACCCAACTTTTACATCAACATGGATGGGACTGGAGAAGATTATGCTAAGTGAAATAAGTCAAGCAGAGAAAGTCAATTATCATATGGTTTCACTTATTTGTGGAACATAAGGAATAGCATGGAGGATACTAGGAGAAGGAAGGGAAAAATGGGGGGGCGGAATTGGAGGGAGAGATGAACCATGAGAGACTATGGACTCTGAGAAACAAACAGGGTTTTAGAGGGGAGGTGGGGAGGGGGGATTGGTTAGCCTGGTGATGGGTATTAAGGAGGGCAAGTACTGCATGGAGCACTGGGTGTTATACGAAAACAATGGATCATGGATCACCACATCAAAAACTAATGATATATTGTATGGTGACTAACATAACATCATAAAATTTAAAAAAAAAAAAGAATTAGGGGAAAATTCCTCAAGTATATGATAGTTGGGGCGCCTGGGTGGCTCAGTTGTTAAGCATCTGCCTTCGGCTCAGGTCATGATCCCAGGGTCCAGGGATCAAGCCCCGAGTTGGGCTTCCTGCTCGGCAGGAAGCCTGCTTCTCTCTCTCCCACTCCCCCTGCTTGTGTTCCCTCTCTCACTGTGTCTCTCTCTGTCAAATAAATAAAATCTTTAAAAAAAAAACAAGAAAGAAAAAATCCAACTTATCTTTAAAAAAAAGTATATGATAGTTCATTTTGAATGAACTATTAATTCATCATATTGAAATTTTATTCAATTAACACTTATTAATCACAAAGCACAAAGATGTGGTCTCTGTGCTCAAATGAGACCAGAGCTAGGAGTCTGCTGGAAGCTATGTGAAAATTAAAGGATAGAAGGAAAGTCACCTGTTCTTGTGAGTACACTAGAGGAATAACCGGGAGACACAACCACTTGGCTTCCAAAGACACAAAGCTTTGGAATAAGACTAAGAACATTCCAAGGAGGGGAGTGCATCTCAATCCAGGTCCTTTCTGCTTCAGTGTCCTCAATGCATCATATTCCGCCCCCCAAACCTAGTTTCCACAAAGCTCGGGTGTCTGATCTCAGAAATCCAATTCCTTTGCTTCACTGCTACTGCATTTAGGAATTTAAGAAACAGAAGATTCTTTCAGGTGCCTGCCAGAAACAACCACTATAGTAGGATAGAGAAGACCCCAGTGTATTATTGGGTTGACCAGAAAGAAAACAGGAAAGAACAGGAACCAGTGATCGTATCATTATCTGCAAGAGCAAAATGTTGAATTCTTGTTGGAAACGACTTCAGGTAGATTATCTCTGAACACAGAAGGGACTTTTTTGTGGTTATCTTCCAAACTGTACTGAAAGAAATAACTGCAATCGACTTCTCCTAACAGCCACCACATAAATTTGAGTTTTTAAAGGACCCAGCAGTACGCCCATAAACTGTAAAGTGCTTAGCGGACAAGAGGTGCTAGTGCAGCATAGGGACGATTGGAAAGAAATGAAAACAGAATATGCTCTCATATTTTGTTAGAAAATTAGAGTTGGATGGGACTTTGAGATCATGTGATCTAGGCTTTCCCAAACTTTGGCCATTTGCATACCACTTTCACTTTATCCCCCTAACCATAAATTACTTAATATTTTTCTTTAAGTTCATGATTACTAAAAACCATGGGCTTCATATCTTGTTATATTTTTCTAATACACACTAAAACTACTAAAATAAAAAATATTTGCCAGCATACCGCACTTTGAGAAACACTCATATACAAGCCAAGGGGCATAACGTTGACAGGGTGGTAGACTTATTCATGAGACAATCTCCAGATCTGACTGTCCAAATATGCCTGTGAAGTACCCCTAAACTTACCATGCAAGTGTCTCACAGTCTTTTTACAACCTAGTTTTTGTGCAGCTGGAATGTTAACCAAAAATAGTATCCTTTACCTTTAAGGTGTTTACACTCTAAATGGGGAGAAAAAGGATTGCAAACTTAATTGTGTTTCATGTATTTACTAAGAAGGTATATCAGAATTGAGCTACTCTTGAAAAAGTAGATACAGTTATAGGAGTTGTAACAAATCCTAATCTTGGGAGGTGGCAGAGTATATTGCAAAGAGCAAGGAACTCTCTCCCAGGGGTACAGTGCTGCATCATTTTTTTCTTTATATTTTTCAAATCTTTTTAATTTTCTACAGTAAACATTTATTACTTTTATAATCAATAGGACATATATTTTTTAAGTCTAGATTTTGCAGTCATTCTGACCCAGATTTATATGCTGACTCTGCCATTTATTATTATTTTTTTTAAAGATTTACTTATTTCAGAGAGAGAGAGAGTACACAAGCAGAGTGAGGGGCAGAGGGAGAGAGAGAATCCTTCAACAAATTCCCCACTGAGCACAGAGCCTAATGTAGGGCTGGGGCCCGATGCGGGAGCCCAATGTGGGGCTTGTGGGGCTCGATCCCAGGACCCTAAGATCATGACCTGAGCCAACATCAAGAGTCAGATGCTTAACCGACACTTAACTGACTGAGCCACCCAGGCGCCCCATATGTGCTGACTCTGCCATTTAAAGCTGTTCGTGATCTTAAGCAAGTTAAACTCCCTGAGACTTGATTTTTGAATTGATTAAATAAGAGACAATGAAACCCTCACAGGGTTGTGGTGAAGATCTTATGAAAAGCTCCCATCACAGTGACTGGCACACAGTTGTAATCAATAAATGTTAATTCTCACTTTCTCCCTATATGACACATGAATTTTTTCTAAAGAAAACTGATATAACATCCCCTTTACAATGATCCCCACTCAAAGTCAAATCCATAAGGCCCTTGCCTTGTTACCTTGACTGAGGCTGGTCCCTTCCAGTTCAAGTACTGCTCTAGTTCTGTGCCCTTGGCCCGGGCCCTGGAGGAGTCAAACACTTTCCTCTTGGAACCCTGCATCCTGCGGCAGACGTTGGAGTGTCTCTCCAGCCTGAGCAACAGAAACTTGCGTCCACAGTGGCTACATTCACCAAGTTCGGGCTCTTCAATGCAACAGCTGGAAACCGAGGAGTCTGGTACCCTAGACAAACTAGGATTGCTGGTGGCTCCCCGCAAAGCATGGCCAGGCCCCTCTGAAGACTGAGGACACTCCTCTGATGGCTCTGAGACTAGGTCTCGGATTTTGTTATTGCTTGCCACCAGTCTTTCCCTTTTGCGCTTCTGTATTCCATAATCAGAGAGTTGAAATGGACTAGAATTTTCTCGAGACCATCCCCCGGTTTCATCCTCCCCCCTGTCTCTACTGAAGACCTCCTCAGACCCGAATTCTGGGGAGAAGGTAGGTTTGTATGTAGTGTTGCTATTACCTTTACCTCTCCTCCTGGGGAGTGTCATTCTCTGTAGCTCTCTTTTTTCATTTTCCTTAGCCTGTTCCTTTTCTTTCTGGATCCTTCTGAGTTCCTCCTCTGTCTTCTTCAGCTTTTCCCTTAGAAGGGTCTCTTTTCTTCGGATTTCCTCCTGTAAGCTCTCCCCTGCAGCTTCTAGTCTTTGGATCTGCACCCATTCAGTCCTGTTAGGGTTTGCCATGGCCCTCTCCTCCTGTGTGGCGACAACAGCACGAACCACAGATGAATTCACCCAGTTCCTTGAATCAAAACTGCTGTATGGAAACTCTCTTGGTTCAGGGGGTCTTGGAGAGACATTCTGGTCCCCATCAATGCCAGCCTCACTTGTACTATGAGATTTCCTATGGAACACAGGTTTCAGGGGGTATGCCCGGTCTACCCCAACTCGCTTCTTTGTGAAGGGGATGAATTCCTGATTATTTGCTTTGGAATACCGGGACTGAGGACTTGATGAGTACAACAAACCCTTTGCTTGGCCCTGGGGATTGCTTCTTGAATCTTGCTGGCTGATTCCAACACAGTGGGGATAGGAGTAGTTCTGGGCTTTTGTGCAGGTGTTCCACTTGGAGTGAGTGTAGAGATTATCCAGTGTCAGCTCTTTGTTGCTCAAAAGCTTCTGCTGGAAATTGTTCCTCAGATGCCCCATGGAGGACCGCTGAGAAGAGTCACCTTTTTCACAGGGCTTTTGTTTAGCTGAGAGGAGCCCTGGAGCTTCTGTTTTATTATATGGAAGCATAACGCCCACAGGCAGAGGTGGTGCCAACTGGAGGCCAGCCATTCAGGGACTGGACTGAAGCCTAGAGGAGATTTAAACCAGATATATGTGAGGAGTTTGTCTGAGGTTCCCCCGCACTGCTAAAGTAAAACTGTTTCTACATTTGTCCTACCTACATATTCTCTTGAACTTTTTAGGGACAGTGGTGCTGGGTCTGCCAGAGCTTTCCTTCAATAAGCATTTGGTGAATGCTCATTATTTCCTGGGGGTGCTTATTAGGTCCTAAGGATAGAAAAACGAGTGTGACACGGGTGTTCCTGCCACCTAGCTTTATTCCAGTACCAGTCTCTGCCATACACGTAGACTCCCTAGTTGGGGGAAAGATTTACTGGAAAGAGGTACTGGATCGAAAGTCAGGTTTTAGGCCTGTGACACAGGACAAGCAACTTTCCCTTCCTGGCTGGTTTCTTCACCCGTAAACTGAAGTTTCGCTCAGAGTTACATGACTGGCATTTAGGGACCTTAGGACTCTGAGTCCAGCCCTGTCGGTTCACAGGTGAGCAAACTGCGGCCCAGAGGTAAGTGACTGGCACCAAGAGCTCTCCAGCTTCCCTCCTGCTGGAACCGTGCTTGACTCCAAAGAACACAGAGGCCGCTCATGGCCTGCAGCAGGTGCCTGGCCGTCAAACCCTTACCCAAGAAGTCCCCGCGGCGCGGACAGCGAAAGGTCTGTAACCTGAGAGGTGGAGGCCACCTGACCTGGCCGCCGCAGCTTTTAGATCCGGAACGCTGAAGTCACGCACTGTCCCACAGGGTCAGCCGGGGCGCCCCCACTGGGGACTCCGCTTTGGGAACAAGCCCTCGCTCTTCTGTCCATGGGGCCCTTGGGAAGTCGAGGTGCTGACCCCATGTCTGCCCCCCCCGCCCCCACCGCGTACCTGAGGCTCTGGCGGACGGTTTCTGCTCAGGGAAAACCCCAGGACTTAGTTTTCCAGACCAGACCCCCCCACCTCAACGATCGCCGCGCAGGCGCTCTCTGCGGGCCTCTGTTTTTCTCGTTGCCTGGAGACGGAGCGCGTGCGCGCCCAGCCCCGCCTTTAGCCCCGAACACCGCCCGGAAGCGCGCGCAGGCGCAGCGCGCACGCGGTCCGGAGACGCCCGCGAGGGGGGTGTGGTCAGTGTGAGCGTCACTTGACCCGGTGTCCCGCCAACTCTGCGGCTCGATCCCGCCCTGCCCTTGGGGAACGTAGGAGGGGGTGGGAGAGGCTTTCTGGGGCTCCATCAAAGAGCTTGTATTTTTCTGAGAACGATGCTCCCAGACCTTGGGGTGTGCCCTTCTCTGGCAGAAGACGGCGCCCCTAGATGTGCCTTGGAGTCATCCTGCCGCAGGATTCCGGTGTCCGCCCACTTAGCAAGAGTGGGCCTGCTGATAGCCTTTCTTAGCACGCTCGGCTGCTTTGTACGGGCCCCAGGTATGGCTGTCCCTCCGTGCTTTTCCTAGCCAATAGTTTGGAGCTTGCGGTCAAATTTTAGCAACTTGGCTGGGTTTTGCTACTCAATATCTTTCCGAGGTAGTTTTTGTAGCCAATGTAATTATTTTGATACAATGTTTTACTCTCACGTGGTAACTCTGGCCGTCTCTTCGTGGGGCCCAAGAGTGACTCAGCCAAGTGTAATGATAATAAAGTTAACTACCAGATTGAAAATAATCAGTATAACCTGGTTTTCAACACTAAATAATATTCTATAACTTGTTAACATTAGAAGAGAGTTTGTCTTCGTGCTTTAGTTCGTTTGTGTAAGCTGTTTGGAACAGGCAGTTTACTTTTTTCCTGTAACTACTCAGAAGATTCATGCACATGGGAAATAAAGTGGACAGCAGTAGTCAGTGTTAATGCTTCAACATGTCATTATTACAGTTTTACATGTTGCAGAGAAATTCCTTGGTGGGCCCTCCAGGGCAGTCCTTTTATTCTTTGCTTTCTTTCCTAGCTGACTCCATTGCCTTCTCTATATACGCAGTTTCAGACATTTCCCCCTACTCTCAAGGTCCTAATTATTTCAGCATCTGGCCTGCCTGTCATCAACTCCTGCAGCTCCCCTCCAGTCTGGCTGAATTTCCCAGAATGCCTCCCTCCATCTTGAATTCCTTCCCTCTTGTGTCTGAGGAAAAAGAATCTTCCTCTTTCCGTGAGTTCTGTTGAATTAGTCCCTTTCCTTACCCTTATCCCTCCATCTTGTTCACTTCAAGTTGTATCTATCCACACACCCCTTCTCTTTGGTTTTAAAATGTTTAACTTTCCCCTGCAAAACAAACATTTCCTGTGACCTGCTGCCTCTCATCTTAAGGTCCCATTTATTTCTCCTCTTCTCCACAAGCATTCTTAATAGACAGCTGTGCATTTGGGGTCCCCATTCCCTCCTCGGCTCCTCAGTGTCCAGTCACTGTGGTCTGGCTCCCACCTTTTCCATTTTATTTAACTGCCAGGCTGTTGATGACTTCCCAATGGCCAAAGACAAAAGCTGCTATTTCTTTAGCCTACTCATTTGCCATCATTGATTTTTCACTCCCTCGGAACTCTCTTCTCACTTGCCCCTGTGCCTTCTTGGTTTCTTCTTTCACATTTTTGCTTCATCTTCTTCCAGGTCTCAGGCATTTATGTCTTTTCCTCACCTGCCCACCAAATTTAGGTGTTCTCCAAAGCCCTCTTATTTCTCATATACACACAGTCCCAGACATTCTCTTCCTTAATGATTTCAACCAAATGCTGAAATTTCAGGTCTCTCCTATGTTTAAATGATACTCAGAGCTCTCTCCTTAGTTACAGACTCAAATTTCTAGCTGCCCATTTAGCACCTCCACATGAATGTTCCTCAGGAACCTCAAACTCGATATGACAGAAAACAAACTCACAATCATCTCCCCGTTTCCCCATCTACATGTCCAGTGTTCCCGTTTAAAAAAAAAAAAAAAAGATATTTATTTATGTATTTGAGAGAGAGAGCACAAGTGGGTGGAGGGGCAAAGGCAGAGGGAGAAACAGACTCCCCGCTGAGCAGGGAGTCCGATGTGGGGCTCAGGGCTTAATCCCAGGACGCTGGAATCATGACCTGAGCCAAAGGCACATGCCCAACCAACTGAGCCACCCAGGTGCCCCTTGTCCGGTGTTCTCTTTTGTGCTGAAAGCATCAGTCATCTTGCACTACTCCCTCTCTTTGTCACCCCTTCTGTCCAATTAGTCAGCAGGCTCTGTTTAATGTGCTTTGCAATGTCTCATATATGACTGTTCTTTTGCATTTCTACTGCCCTAGGTGAGTTCTTCCTCACTTTTCTTTTGGGACAGCATCACTCTCCTAACTGCTATTCTTGCCTTCAACATCTGCTCCCCAAGCTCATTTTTTATGCTGCTGCCAGAGTGATTATCTTAAATACCTCTGACCCCATCATTCTCCTACTCAGTGGCTTCTTCTTTGCCTATACCTTCTTTACTTGTACCTTCCAAGTTGAAACACATAATTTAACATGGTATTTCAATCTGCCAGATTAGGTCCGGCCTACCTTTCCAGCCCTGCCTCCCCAGAGTCTAGTCCAGTGGATATCAACCCTAGCTGAGCTTTAGGACTCCCTGGAAAGCAACTTCTGGGGGTGAGACCTGGGTATTGGTATTTTTAAAAGCTTCTAATGTGCAGCCAGGATTGAGAACCCCTGGTCTAGCCACACCTGATTACTTGCACTTCCTCTCCCTTTCTTTCTCTCTCTCTCTTTTTTTTTCTTTCTTTTCCTTCCTTCCTTCCTTTCTTCCTTCCTTCCTTCCTTTCTTTCTTTCTTTCTTTCTTTCTTTCTTTCTTCTTTCTATTTCTTTCTTCCCTTCCTCCCTTCCTCCTCCCTTCCTCCCTTCCTCCCTTCCTTCCTTCCTTCCTCTCTCTCTCTTCCTTCCTCCCTTTCTTCCTTCCTCCATCCTTTCTTCCTTCCTTCCTCCCTTCCTTCCTTCTCAGTGGTATTACCTTGACCCAAGCTCCATGCACTGGGAGGTGGTAGAGCATAACATTTATGGGAGTGCGTTCTGTACTCAGACTGCCTGGAAATAAATCCCAGCTCCATCACTTACTGGTCGTGGTTGTGTAACCTGGATAATGTGCTGCTTCCTCCAAGAACACTTTCCCAATCTTCTCAGTCAGAATGAATCTTTTTGTTCCTTTGTGCTCTCAAGTATTTTCTGTTCTTGTTGTAGGACAGGGCTGAGTCATGATGAGCTCTCAATGGATGTTCATGGGATTGACTAGCATGTTGTGCTCTTTATTGTCATTATGTGCATGCATATTTGTCCCTTATACTAAATAAAAAACTCTTTGAAGACAAAAATTATATCATTCATCTTTGTATAGCCTACGGTGTCTCATATGTAGTAGACAATAGTTTTTTTTAATTCTATCGAGAAACTTGTTTTTTCAAAATGAATTTTAGGGGCACGTGGGTGGCGCAGTCAGATGGGTGTCTGACTCTTGGTTTCAGCTCAGGTCGTGATCTCAGGGTCATGAGAGATTGAGCCTGCTTGAGATTCTCCCTCTCCCTCTGCCCCTCCTGCTAGTGCTCTCTCTCTAAAATAAATAAATCTTTAAAAAATAAAGATAAGGGACTCTTGATTTCAGCTCAGGTCAGGATCTCGGGGTTGTGAGATCAGGCCCTGAATTGGGCTCTGTACAGGATGTGGAGCCTGCTTAAGGTTCTCTCTCCCCCTATCCCTCTGCCCACCTTCCTCTCTAAAAATAAATAAATAAAAAAGATAAAAATAAAAGTGAATTTTAGAGAAAGAAATAACATCAGCCAGGCACTCTCTTTAGCCATTATTTTTAAATATTGCCAAGAATAACATTCAGTGCAGCTTCCCACCCCACCCCCACTCTGGCAGTGAGGTTATATGATTCTTCAGGATCTGGATCCTCACTTTTCACTGGGGGAACAAGTGAAATGATTAATCTTTATGGCTTCCATTGCAAATCCATCTCACTTCACCAAGTCTGCCCACCTGGAATATTTCACATATGGAGCCTTATGTTATGAAGGGATGTAATGTATACAAGCAATTCAAAGAAGAAAAATAAATACTACAGTTTTCCTTCATACATTCTTAATCATAAGAGTAGCTGGATTCAAATGCCTGCAAGGTAACTGTACTTTTAATAATGATCAGCCACAATTCCCTTGACAATTCCATTTTCTCAAAAGGAACTCATGCATTTTGGTCATTTGGCTTTGATTGATTCAATGGTGATTCTGGAGCCATGGGTTATTTTGCATGTGCTTGTGATTGATTGATTTAGATAAGCATTAGAGTTTTCTTAGTAAGGGAGGGCAGCTTCCAGAAACACAGAAGGAGGAATAACCTCCTCTGGGCCTTCCTATTCACTTAATCTCCCTTGCTACCAATTCCAGACTGGGGCATGGCCCCAGATTTGAGGAAAACTGAAAGAAAAAGGGCAGAAAGGTACAGGCATACCTCAGACACATTGTGGGCTCTGTTCCAATCACTGCAATAAAGTGAGTCAAAGAGAAATATAACTTTTTTAAAAAGATTTTATTTATTTATTTGACAGAGAGAATGAGAGAGTATAAGCAGGGGGAGTGGCAGAAGGAAAGGGAGAAGCAGGCTCCCCACTGAGCAAGGAGCCCTATATGGGGCTCCATCCCAGGACTCTGGGATCATGACCTGACCTGAAGGCAGATGCTTAACCGACTGAGCCACCCAGGTGCCCCAGAAATATAACTTTTATATGCACTGGTTTCCCCATGCACTATATTGTAATCTATTAAGTAGTCATTTGCATTATATCTAAAAAAAGCACATACTTTTTTTTATAAATGTACATACCTTAATTTAAAAAATTTGCTAAAAAATGCTAACCATCATCTGAACTTTCAGTGAGTTGTAATCTGATCATACATCACCATAACAAATATAATAATGATGAAAAATTTTGAAATACTGTGAGAATTACCAAAGTGCAACTCAGAGACACAAAATGAGCAAATGCAGTTGGAAAAAATGGTGCTGTTAGACTTAATCAATGCAGGTTTACCAACCTTCAATTTGTAAAAAACGTAGTATCTTTGAAGTGCAGTAAGGTAAGGTATGCCTGTATGTGTCCTATTCAATTTATTTATGTATTTAATGTTTATTTTCCATCTCCCACCTCCAGAATTTAAGTTCCTCCAGGCCAGTGATCCTTCTTGTCCACTAATGTAGGTCAACCACCCAGAACTGTGCCTGGCATACAGCAGGCTTTCAGTAAATATTTATTGAGTGATTGAATTTATTTCAAGTCCTTCTTCATCTAGGCCTTTCTCCCCACGAAAAAATGAGAAAAAATGTGCTTAGTGACAGAGGTGGGGTGAGGCCTGGGTCTGTAGAATCGGAGCTAAGACTCTGGACAGATCCCCAACCTGAGGCTTGCTGCTTCTTTCAGACAACAGCGTTTAGAAATCCCACCCTCTGGGCGGGCTCTGGGCTGAGCACGCCATTTCTGATTGGTTGATGGAGGTGATGGGCGTGAGGGACAGCGAAGGAGGAGCCGCTCTCTAGGCTTCCGGGCGCCGAGGTTACCCGGCTGTGGGAACCGTTGGCGTGCTGGTTGCCGGTGTAGTCACAGGCGCCCGAGAGGAGGACGAGGAGGGTGAGCCTGAGATAGGGCCCCGTAGCGTGTCCATAGTTTGATACCCCTAAATTGTTAGTAGAAGGGGATTCTGGTGGCCAGTGGAAGCTGGGTCTCTGGGAAGAGGAAGGGATGGAGAGGAAGCCCGACGGGGGATGGGTGTGGGGAGGCAATTGGATAAGCAGGTCATTGCTCCAAAGGGGGCCTCTATGGGCACTTGAGACCCAAAGCTCCTTGGCCCAGGTGTCTTCCTGTTACTTCGCACACCCGGGCTTGCACGTGTCCGCTTGCGTGCTCTGGCGTTGGAGGACCATAATGTCAGGGTGAGGTCGCAGTGGTTACAGATGGAGAAGTGTGGGTCTGGCCTTTTTTTCCTCGGGATTTGGTGTCCTGGGATAGGATAATGAGCCCTTTACTTTTCTGGTCTCTGACAGGTGTAGGCATGAACATGGCAGAAGGGGACACCCTGATATCAGTGGATTATGAAATTTTTGGGAAGGTCCAAGGGGTGTTTTTCCGCAAGTACACTCAGGTATGTGGCCTACAGGCTTTGGGGACATACCTAGGTTACGTGTAGGGGAACAAGAGACCATGTGCCTGACGAATAAATGTGCCTTGGGAGAAGCCCGCTTTTTGGTAGCTGCATGGTGGTTTGTAGCGCCATGGGAATGAAAATGCTTTGCAGGGGATGAAAGACAATGTAAATGGCAGAATCGTGTGCTGTTATTATCGTTCTTTTCTGACAGTGGTACCAGGGTACCTAGACACATATTAATGAGCTTCTCTCTTCCCAAGGGGAATTAAGGGCTTCCCCAGTTCTCCTTGTTGTGGCCTCATCCAACCAGGTCACAGTTCTTGTAGGAGGGCTAACGTTGATCAGATGGCATTTAAAGATTTTATTTATTTACTTAAGAGAGAGAGGATGAGTGAGGGAGAGGGGCAGAGAGAGAGGGAGAAGCTAACTCCCCGCTGAGCAGGGAGCCCGATGTGGGGCCCCATCCCAGGCTCCCGGCACCATGACCTGAGCCGACAGCAGACGCTGAACCGACTGAGCCACTCAGGTGCCCCAGTCAGATGGCGTTTAGGTGAACTCCTGATAGTTATGAAATTTACGTAATTGCTTCCTCTGTAGCTGCTGCATTTTCTTCAGACCTCTTTCATTTCTTCAACCTTCTCCATTCCCCCACTTGATTCCTTTCTATTCATTATGGCTCTGAAAGAAGAGTTACCTCTTTAAGCTAAAGCTTTTCTCATGAAAATAGTTGATTTATTCCAGGGTAAGTAATGGTAACACTGAACATGGAGTCTAGTGTTCCTATTAGAGTAATATGGAGTAATTGTGGGGATGAACAAACCATGGACAGCCTGTACCTCTGTCTTAATGTCACTAATCTTCCCACAACATGCACATGCAGTTGCAATCTCAGTTTCCCTTCTGTCTCTGTTAAGGGGGTATCAGGCTATTGCCTTCCCAGTGTATGGCCAATCCCAAAGATAATGAGTTAAGACTGCAGAACTTTCCAAGTGTCACATTCCTGGTACTGTGATACATAAAATTCAATCCTGAAATCTTTGAAAAATGAATGTTACATGTCATTATCTCTTTTTTCCAATCACTTGCAAATCATTTCCTCCTGTTTCATACTCATATATGAAGTGCTTGTTGAAAGAGAATTGCTGAAAAACCATAGCAAGAGCTATGTTGCAGTTAGGTTTGGTACCAATTATGCAGGGTAAATTCCTGTGACTTAGTAAATGGGGGTGACAGCTTCAAAGATTAATTAAAGTTGTTGAGGGAAAAGGACCAGACAGTAGTATAGCCCATCTTTCTCTACTGTCCCTGTACCCCCCAGTTCAGAGAAACAATAAAAGAAACAGACAATAAATACTGATTTGGAAAACCACAAGGAAAATGCGGTCTCTGGGCTCCTGTGTGTCTCAGTCGGTTGAGCGTCTGCCTTCGGCTCAGGTCATGATCCCAGGGTCCTGGGATTGAGCCCCGCATTGGGCTCCCTACTCAGCGGGGAGTCTGCTTGTCTCTCTCCCTCTGCTTGCTGCTCCCCTTGCTTGTGCTCTCTCTGTCAAATAAATAAGTAGAATCTTACAAAAAAAAAAAAGAAAGAAAGAAAATGCCATCTCTTTTTCTTCTTAATTAGACTTGTAGCTTATTCTTTACCGCTTACCGTCATTTAACCATGTGTTCATTTTAACAGTTGTTTTCTTTCATGACAGTCAATATGTTGATATCATCTGGCCTCTGAATTCAATCCCATCAGTCGCTCATTCCTGGAATGAATGATGAGAGTACTCAAAGGAACTTTTTTAAAAGTTGGAATATAATTGACATCCCATAAAATTGACCCTTTTAAATAAAAGTGTGTAATTTAGTTGTGTTTAGTGTATTCACAAAGTTGTGCACTAATTCCAGAACAAAAAGAAATCCCATTCCCCCCAGCCCCTACTAACTTCATTTCTGTCTCTATGGACTTGCCTATTCTGGACATTTAATGTAAATGGAATCATGCAATATGTGGTCTTTTGTGTTTGGCTTCTTTCACTTAACAATGTCTTCCAGGTTTATCCATATCATAGCATGTATCAGTGTAGTAGTCCCCCTTATCTGCAGGTAATACATTCCAAGCGCCCCCAGTGGATGCCTGAAACTGTGGTTAGTACCAAACCCTATATACTATGCTTTTTCCTATATGGACCTACCAATGATAAATTTAATTTATAAATTAGGTACAGTAAGAGATTAACAACAATAACTAATAATAGAAAATAATAGAAAAATTACAATATATTATAATAAAAGTTATGTAAATGTAGTCTTTCTCTCTCTCTCAAAATATCTTATTTTACTATACTCACCCTTCTTGTGATGATGTGAGATGATAAAATGCCTATATGATGAAATGAATTGAGGTGAATGATGTGGGCATTGTGACGTAGCATTAGGCTACTACTGACCTTCTAATGACACTTCAGAGGGATGATCATCTTCTGAACTGCGGTTGACTGAGGGTATCTGAAACCATGGAAAGTTAAACCACGGATGGAGAGGGACTACTGTACTTCATTCCTTTTTATGGCTGAATAATATTTTACTGTATGGCTATACCACAGTTTATATATCCATTCACCACTTGATGGACATCTAGGTTGTTCCCACTTTTAGGCTATCATGAATAATGATTCTGTGAACATTTATGTATTTGTTTTTATGTAAACATTGTTTTCAGTTCCCTTTGGTATATATACCTAAGAGTAGATTGCTGGGTCACCTGGTAAGTTTATGTATAACTTTTTGAGGAACTGCCAAACTATTTTTCAAAATAGCTGTACCGTTTATATTCCCACTAATAATGTATGAGAATTTCAATTTCTCCAGATCTTTGTCAACAATTATTGTCTATCTTTATTATTAGAGCCATTCTAGTGAGTATGAAGTGGTATGTCATTGTGGTTTTTTGTTGTTTTATTTCATTTTAAGGTATTAATGAATTTTAAAAGATTAAAGTCATACAAAGCGTGTTCTCCGTCCACAATGGAACTAAACTACAAATCAATAACAGAAAGACAACTAGAAAATCTCAAATACCTGGCAACTGTGCAAAACGCTTTCTTAAAAAATTGTGGTAAAATATACATAATGTAAAATTTATAATTTTAGCCATTTTTAAGTGTACAGTTCAGTGACCTTAAGTACATTCACATCATTGTGCAACCATCACTGCCATCCATCCACAGAACTCTTTCATCTTGCAAAACTGAAACTCTGTATCCATTAAACAATAACTCCTAATTCCCCCTTTCCCTACCTAGCTCCTGGTAATCACAATTCTACTTTCTGTTTCTATGAATTTGACTACTCTAGGTACCTCATGTAAGTGAAATCATACAGTATTTGTCCTTTTGTGACTGGTTTATTTCACTAGCATGTATCTGATTTTCCTTCTTTTTCAAGGCTAAATAATATTCTGGTGTATGTAAGATACTTGGTGTATGTATGTGATTTTGTTTGCTTTCTCCTAATAGTTAATGATGTTAAACATCTTTTCGTATGTTTATTGGCACATGAAAGAAAATAAAATATATCTTTTTTGGAGAAATGTCTATTTAAATCCTTTGCTGTGAGCTATGTCTTCATGTTGAATTGTAAGAATTTTTGTATATTCAGGATACTAGTCCCTTGTTACTTAAAAGATTTGCATATATTTCTTCTATTCTGCGGGTTTTCTTTTTACTTTCTTGATGAAAACTTTGAAGCACAAAAGTTTTTAATATTGATCAAGTCTAATTAATTTTTTCTTTTGTTGCTTGTGCTTTAGCGTTATATCTAAGAAACCTTTGCCCAATCCAAGGTCATGAAGGTTTTTGCCTATGTTTTCTTCTAAAAGTTTTTTCTAAGGGTTTTATCACTTAAGATCTTAGCTTTAGATGTTTTATCCAGTTAGAGTTATGTTGTGTGAGGTAGGTAGATTTTATTCTTTTGCACGTGGAGATCCACCTGTCCCAGGATCATTTGTTAAAAAGACTATTACTTTCCTCCATTGAATTGTCATGGCACCCTTGTCAAAATTCAATTGGCTGTAAATATAAGGTTTATTTCTGGATTCTAGTTCTAGTCCATTGACCTGTCCTTATGCCAATACCACACTGTGTTGATTATTGTAGCTTTGAAGTAAATTTTGAAATTGGGTTATGTGAGTCCTTCAACTTTGTTCTTCCTTTTCAAGATTATCTTTAGCTATTCTGGGTCCCTTATGTTCCCATGTGAATTTTACCATCAATTTGTCAATTTCTGCAAACAAGGCAGCTGGGATTTTGATAGAGATTGCTTAAAATCTGTAGACCAATTTAGGAAGTATTATCTTAACAATATTGTCTTCTAATTCGTGAACATGGGATGTCTTTCCATTTATTCACATCTTCTTTAATTTCTTTCAACAATATTTTATAGTTGTCTGTATGTAAATCTGGTACTTCTTTTGTTAAATTTAGTCCTAAGAAATTTATTATGTTCAATACTATTTATAAATGGAATTGTTCTCTTAATTTCATTTTTGATTGTTCATTGCCTGTTTATGGAAATACAATTATTTTTGCATATTGGTCTTGTATTGTGCAATCTTGTGAACTTGTTTATTAGTTCTAATTTGTGTGTGTGTTTGTGTTTATCCCTTAAGATTTTTCTGTAAATGAGATATATTATCTGTGAGTAAAGGTAGTTTTACGTCTTCCTTTCTACTTTGAATACCTTTTATTTCTTTTTCCCTGCCCTGGCTAGAATCTCCAGTATAATATAGAGTAGATGTGGCAAGAGCCACTTGTCTTTTTTTTTTTAAGTTTTATTTATTTGACAGAGAAAAAGAGCGAGCGCACACAAGTAGGCAGAGCGGCAGGCAGAGGGAGAGGGAGAAGCAGTCTCCCCGCGGAGCAGGGAGCCTGATGCGGGGCTTGATCCCAGGACCCTGGGACCATGACCTGAGCCTAAGGCAGATGTTTAACCAGCTGAGCCACCCAGTCACCCCAAGACCAACTTGTTTTGTTCCTGATCATAGGGAGAAAGTATTCAGTCTTTCACCATTAGGTGTGATGTTAGCTGTGGGTTTTTCACAGATGCCTTTTTATCAAGTTGAGTGTGTTTCCTTCTATTCCTAGTTTGAGTGTTGGATTTTGTCTTTTTTTTTTTTTAACCATCTTTTTTTTTTTTTTAAAGATTTTATTTATTTGAGACAGAGAGAATGAGAGAGAGAGAGCACATGAGAGGGGGGAGGGTCAGAGGGAGAAGCAGACTCCCCGCTGAGCAGGGAGCCCGATGCGGGACTCGATCCCGGGACTCCAGGATCATGACCTGAGCTGAAGGCAGTCGCTTAACCAACTGAGCCACCTGATTTTGTCAAATTTTTTTTTCATCTATGAGTTGATCATCTGGTTTCTGTTTTATTTATTAATATGGTTTGTTATATTGTTTTATTAATATTGTGTTTTAGTTAATATGATTTTTAAACTGTGGTGTATTGATTTTTCTATGTTGAACCAACCTTGCATTCCTAGGATAAATCCCAATTTTTCATGGTGGGCCATCCTTTTTATATGTTGCCAGATTTGATTTGCTCATATTTTGTTGAGTTTTGCGTCAATATTCACAAGTGATATTAGTTTATAGTTTTCTTGAGATGTCTTTGCCTGGTTTTGATGTGAAGGTAATACTGGCTTAATAGAATGATTTGGGAAGAGTTTTCTTCTGTTTTTTTGGAAGAGTTTGTGAAGGATTGGTGAAAGAGTCCTCTTTAACCATTTGGTATAATTCACCTGTGAAGCCATCTAGTCCTGGGCTTTTCTTTGTAGGAAGTTTTAAATTACTAACTCAATCTCTTTACTTGTCATAGGCCTATTCAGATTGCCTGTTTCTTCTTGAGTCAGTTTTAGTAGTTTGAGTCTTTTTAGGAATCTTCCCTTTTCATCTAAGTTCTCTAATATGTTGGCACACAGTTGTTTATGGTATTCCCTTATAATCCTTTTTATTTTTGTAAGGTTGGTGGTACTGTCCCCTCTTTAATTACTGATTTTAGTAATTTGAGCCTTCTCTCTTTTTTTCTTTATTAGTCTAGCTAGAGGTTTGGCAATTTAGTTGATCTTTCTAATCTTTACTATTTTTATCTTTCTGCTTGTTTTGAGTTTGGCTTGATCTTCTTTTTCTAGTTTCCTAAGTTGGAAGTCTAGGTTATTGATCTGAAGGGACTTTCTTTTTAGATTGAAACTGGAGTTGGTGATTATATTACTTAAAATAATGTTTCCAGAATATTGTTATGAGGAAGAATTAGCTTTTTGGGATTTTCTTAGGAACAAACACTATTTGCTTTAGATAGATATTCAAAATGGAATATGACTCAGCAACATTATGGTATTTAAAAATAAGAACAGAATCAAATGCACAAATAAAACCTACAGGAAATTCCCATTCTCAACACTAGTCAAATTTGGGAGTGTTTTTTTCACTCTTAGGAGTTCAGATAAATCACACTGCAATTTAAAAACTTATTTGACTCTATAAACTCCTGCTCAAAACTCAGTACAATCATTATTATAGCTAGTTACCATATAAGGTAACTTGGAAGAGCTGGGGATAGCTGACTGTGCTAGGTTAATTTGAAGCAGAAGAGAGCAATTGTTATACAAAGTAAATTGGATGTAGTCTTCCTTAAAATCCATTCTCTGCATCCTTTTTTTATGCCCCCATCTTTGGCACTTAATGCGTGCTATAGGTGTCTTCTATTTTTCTTCCTTCCTTAATTTCCTCTGTATTCCTTAAATTGTAATTTGACTGCAGTCTCTTTTGTTCATTATACAAACATGTCTTTGCTTTGAACATAACTGATTTGATAGATACTTTGGTTTCTCATCAAACATGGTTTTGCTGTGCATAACATTTTCTTTGGCCAACTGCAGCAATTTCCCATATTTACTAGGTCACTCCTCTGGCATTTGGGCATGCAGTCATGGTAACTCCCATTTTCTTTTGTAATCCAATTCCTTCCATTTAGATAGGTTACTTAAATGATAACTTTTCTAATATTTCTGCTTGCAAATTAAAAAAAAAATTACCTCTAAACATTGCTACCTTTCCCAGTGTTCAGTCATTCCACGGTTTCATGACTTAAAGGAAAGAACATTGGAAAGGCTAAGAGAAAAGCAACTACAATGATTAGATGGTCTTCATAAATTCAACTTTAAAGGTGTGATTATTTAGACAGAAGAGAAGAAAGTCAAGTAAAAACCTAATAGTTGTGTAGTCTCATGAAATTTTGATGTTCAGAGGCTGATCACTACATGCTTTTTCCTTCTGTAGGAGGACAGAAGGTGGGCTTTGGATGCATCATAAAGACCTTGGGTTAGACAATTTTTCTAAAGTGAGAACAAAGGAATGAGTTGCCCAGGAAATAATGATCTTTAAAGATACAATGGACACTCATTCATCTGGATTTGTTTAGGTGTGGTCCTGGCTGAAGACAAAGAGAAGGATCAGATAACTTCATGCTTTTTCTACTTAATATACCCATTAGATTCTTTTTTTTTTTTAAAGATTTTATTTATTTATTTGAGAGAGAGAGAAAGAGAGAGAAAGCACATGAGAGGGGGGGAGGGTCAGAGGGAGAAGCAGACTCCCTGCCGAGCAGGGAGCCCGATGCGGGACTCGATCCAGGGACTCCTGGATCATGACCTGAGCCGAAGGCAGTCGCTTAACCAACTGAGCCACCCAGGCGCCCCCCATTAGATTCTTGATTAGGAGAAGGGAAGGGGCGCCTGGGTGGCTCAGATGGTTGAGCATCTGCCTTCGGCGCAGGTCATGATCCCGGGGTCCTGGGATCAAGCCCCGCATCAGGCTCCCTGCAAGGTGGGGAGCCTGCTTCTCCCTGTGCCTCTGCCTGTCTCTCTCTCTCTCTGACTCTCATGAATAAATGAATAAAACAGTAAAAAAAAAAAAAGGAGAAGGGAAAATTAGCAAGATACAGCCCAGGATCCTAACAACAATCAGCCTTAGGGAATCATTTTAAAAGCATCTGATTTGCTTTAGTACTTAAGTCTTTGGTACTTAACCAAGTTGACTACATAGTGAAAATTTCTAGTGCCTAGGTTTTTATAGGGTAGAATAAGGAAATGGAGTCAAATGGCCAACACTTCATGTTAAGGTCAATGAGATTCTCCTTGCTGTAGTTCTGTTGTGACTGGACTACAGTTCTGGACAACATCAAATTAGTTTCAGTGGCTTTTGATTCTAGGCCAAGATTCTGGCAACATATTGTAGTCTCACTGTTTTGTTCAATCTCACTGGATTTTTCTCTCATATTTTTCTTTCCCTTAGGCTGAGGGTAAAAAGCTGGGATTGGTTGGCTGGGTCCAGAACACTGACCAGGGCACAGTGCAAGGACAATTGCAAGGTCCCATCTCCCAAGTGCGTCATATGCAGGAATGGCTTGAGACAAGAGGAAGTCCCAAATCACACATCGACAGAGCAAACTTCAGGAATGAGAAAGTCATCGTAAAGTTGGATTACTCAGATTTCCAGATTGTGAAATAATGACCTGAATTTAAATTTTCTAAGATAAACTCACTGGTTTTGTTTTTATTGTTAATATAGAACAGTCTGTGTTCACTATTAGAATTGGTCAGTAAGTTATGTTAGTATCAGATGTTTGAATATTACTGTATATTATATGTATGATAGAAAGATGACAAACTCTACACAATTCTAAATAAATAAAAATACATTAGAAACTTCTGCATAGGGTACTGTCTTTATCTTTGCTGAACTTCATTTGGGGCAAAATAAGAGGTATTTATTCAGTAAACATCTGTGGGAAGAGAATTTTGGTGTAATTTAAAGAAAGCTGAAAGAGGAAACAGTTACTTTGAATCACCTTTTTTTTTAAAGATTTTATTTATTTGACAGAGGACAAGCAGGGGGGAGCGGCAGAGGGAGAGGGAGAAGCAGGCTCCCCCCCAGCAAGGAGCCCAATGTGGGGCTCGATCCCAGGATCCTGGGATCATGACCTGAGCCGAAGGCAGACACAACCGACTGAGCCACCCAGGCGCCCTTGAATCACTTTTTAGAATGGTTTTCATGAAGTTTTCTTGAGGAACTTGCACACGTAATAATAACAAATACCATAATTTCAATTTGTTAGGTGTTCAAATGACATTTTGGACTAATTACTTTTACTTTTCTGGAGTTTCTGCTGTCATTCCTTTCCTCTGGGCAAGGATTTCATATAAAGCTATGTTATGGGCTAAATTATATCACACACGCCCAGCCCACCCCAAATTCATATGTTAAAGTCTTAACCAGTACCTCAGAATGTGACAATCTGGAGATAGAGCCTTTAAAGAGGTAATTGAGGTTAAACGAGGTCATTAGAGAAGGCCCCAATGCAATATGCCCCAGTGTCCTTAAAAAAAGAGGAAATTGGACACAGGCATGTGAAGACAGGGAGAAGACAGCCATCTATAAGACACGAAGAGAGGTCTCAGAAGAAATCAACTTGTCAACACCTTGACCTCAGTCTTCTAGCCTCCAGAACTGTGACAAAATAAATTTCTATTGTTTAAGCCACTCAGCCTGGTATTTTGTTAGGGCAGCCCTACAAGCAATAATCGGGATTTTGCTTCATCAGCCCTTCATGTTTCCCAGTTTGGCTTGGTCAGCCATTAAACAGGTATATAGGAAATGCTTACCTGATTTAACAAGTTTGTCATAAATTACAATTTTTTGAAAATAATAGGTTTCGATGAAAATGAGAAAGCAAAAACTGAGGATTGGTTAGTAATTTCCCAAACACCTATTCTCTCAATGTTCTTACAGTTCTCATTCAGTCAGAAAAGGAGCTGCGGTGGCATCAGGAACATATCAAAAAAGTAAATGAAAGGAGTCTTCGTGTCTTTACCTGTAAATGAAGAGGGTCGAGCTAGTTTCTCAGTCTTTTCCACCTCTGAAATGCTACAACTCTGTAAGATGGAAGGTTGTGGATTTATTCATCCACTGAATGCCTGACAGGAGAGGCACTGTAAACAAAATGGATAAAATCCCTACCTTCAAATAGTTTACATTATAGTGAGAGAAGACCTACAAAACACAAAATAACATATATATTGAATTAAATGGTAGGTAGTACGAAGGAAGAAGGGGAAAGGAACACGAGAAAAGCAAAAGTGAAAATTGCTGGAAACAGCTTTTCACACCATGCTAAAGGGGTATAAGAATTGAGAATTCGGGGTACCAATGTGAAGAGACCCCCCCGCCCCACACACACCCACCTAGTTTCCCAATCAGAGAACAGCTGGTGCGCATGCGCACTTGGGTGTCACCGACAAAAGCGCGTTCCCCGCGCGTCGCCTCGGAAGCGCATGCTCGTGGCGCGTACATGAGCCTCGCGAGCTAACGTGCCCGCGCCCTGCGTCCGAGGCGATTGGTAACCGGGAGTTGGGGAAGCTGTGTTCGAGGTGACTTGGGGGAAAGCACGCGTCGAAGGGACGGTTCCGGGAGTCCTTCTAACGGCAGAAAGGCCCTGACGCCCGCCGCGGGCGTGTTTGGGACCCAGCTGCGCAGAGGCTGCAGGAGGCCTCGTGCGTCAGGGCGGCGAGTCGGGGGGAGGGGGCGGGGTGGAGCCTGAGCCTGGGGGACGGTCCTGCCCCCGCGGAGCTTTCGCCGCTGGGGCCCCGGACCGAATCGTCCCCTTTGACTGTGGCCTGGGAAAGACTGGGATGTCATCAAGAAGTCGTTAAGTTGGGGAACAGTCGGAATACCAGTTAAATGTTTACCTCTCGTTTGCTGCCGGCTGCAAAGTTCCCTACCTTGAAAAACATCAGATCTGCGATTATAGCTCTGGTGTTCCCGTTTGGAAAACTAGCCCTACCACCTGCGAGAGGTCCAGCTCATGCTGCTCTCTCACTTACAAAGAAAGGAGGAGACCTTTAGTGGCACTTTAATCTTAATATTTTATACCTGACAGGATAACGTAAAGTCAAGTTCAGACAGCCCCAGACCATCAGTATTGTGAGGGTAGTGTGTAGCCATCTGTAAATACCAAAAGACTGTTAATACAGGGACCTTCTGAAAACTTTTTATCAAAGTAATGTGTGAACAAGATGTAAAAACCAACTGATACAGAAAAGTTGATAATGAAAAGGAAATTTCTGCTTTACCCTTTTCCATTCCCAGTCTCTTTCCTCTGAGGCAACATTTAACCAATAATAATAATGAATAATAATTTCTTAATGCCCATTTCTTCTTGATACACAGTTTGATTTTTTAAATTTCCTCTGTCTTAACACTTCATGGTGAGTTTTTACTAAAAGTCATGGTTATTGTGTTATGTATAAATATGAAACTAGTTGGACATTTTTTTCATGAATTTCTAGCTGAATTTAATTTAGACATCTGTTTTTGGTGAAGTGATTAGAATTTTGAACACTGTCTTACCGGTCAACTTCAGTTGTGATTATGATTTCACTTTAGGGCATGTGGGATTTAGAAAGGAGCAGTGAAAATTATGAAATTGTAAATGCTGCTTTCCATTGCACCAACCATGAGCTGTATGATCTGCCTAGAGATCAAAGCTGTAATTTGTTTTGTTTTGTTTTTTACAGTGAGGTTTAATAAGAGATTTAATTTACCTCAAATGGTATTTCTCTCTAATGCTTGAGAGAAATGGATAATGCTGTGTAACTCTGAGGCTTTGATAGTGTGCGTGTGTTTTTTTTTTCTCCCATAGGCAATTATTTCCAGTGAGGGAAGGAAACCAGTGCCTGGCATTCTTACCAGCTTTCTACCTGCCATGATCAAGTGCTTGTCAGTTGAAGTACAAGCCAGATTGCGTTCTGGTTTGGCTATATGCTCCTTAGGCCAGTGTGTTGAGGAGCTTGCCCTCAACAGTATTGATGCTGAAGCGAAATGTGTGGCTGTCAGGGTGAATATGGAAACCTTCCAAGTTCAAGTGATAGATAATGGATTCGGGATGGGGAGTGATGATATAGACAAGGTGGGAAATCGTTATTTCACTAGTAAATGCAGCTCTATACAGGACTTGGAGAGTCCCAGGTTTTATGGTTTCCGAGGGGAGGCCTTGGCAAGTATAGCTGACATGGCCAGTGCTGTGGAAATTTCATCCAAGAAAAACAGGACAGGGAAAACTTTTGTGAAACTGTTTCAGAATGGAAAAGCCCTGAAAGCTTGTGAAGCTGACTTGACTAGACCAAGTGCCGGGACAACGGTAACAATATATAACCTATTTTATCAGTTACCTGTAAGAAGGAAATGCATGGATCCTAGACTGGAGTTTGAGAAGGTTAGGCAGAGAATAGAAGCTCTCTCACTCATGTACCCTTCCATTTCTTTCTCTTTGAGAAATGATGTTTCTGGTTCCATGGTTCTTCAGCTCCCCAAAACCAAAGACGTATGTTCCCGATTTTGTCAAATTTATGGACTGGGTAAGTCCCAAAAATTAAGAGAAATAAAATTTAAATATAAGGAATTTGAGCTTAGTGGCTATATCAGCTCTGAAGCACATTATAATAAGAATATGCAATTTTTGTTTGTGAACAAAAGACTAATTTTAAGGACAAAGCTTCATAAATTCATTGACTTTTTACTGAGGAAAGAAAGTATTATATGCAAGCCAAAGAGTGGCTCTGCTACTAGACTAATGAATTCAAGTCCTCGGCATCGGTCTCACCCAGAACTCCACGGGATATATGTAATCAATGTGCGGTGCCAGTTCTGTGAATATGATATATGCATGGAGCCAGCAAAAACGCTCATTGAATTTCAGAACTGGGATACTGTTTTGGTTTGCATTCAGGAAGGAGTGAAAATGTTTTTAAAGAAAGAAAAATTATTTGTGGAATTATCAGGTGAGGACATTAAAGAATTTAGTGAAGATAATGATTTTAGTTTATTTAGTGCTACTCTTCAGAAACATGTGTCCTCTGATGAGAAGGGTGACCAGGTCAGTTTCCAAGAGGCATGTAATAGTATTTTGGATTCCTATGAAATGTTTAATTTTCGATCAAAAGCTGTGAAAAGAAAAGCTACTGTAGAAAACAGAAGAAACACACAGAATTCTAGAGATTCGGAAGGTATCAGAAAAAAGACAAATGATTCATTTTTGCACATTTATGAATCAGATGGCCCAGGCCATAGTAAAGTGACAGAGTCATCTTTACAAATCAAAGATAGCTCTTGCTCAGAATCAAGGATCTTGGAACAACAGACAGCTGAAGTTTCAGAATCAGGAGAAAATGAAAAACATAAAAAACTTGGCTTAGAACTTAACTGTTTAGAAAATCCCTGTGGAACCAGTTCAGAAATGTTGGCAAGCCCTTTTCAGACATCATACTGCTTTGAGAAGAATGGAGATGATCTAGAAATACAGAATGCAAGTACTATTGTTAATGGCATGGCTACCAGTATCCTGACAAATAATGGAACTCAGAATCAACTAGAGAGATTTAAAGATGCTACTGAAATGGGATGCCAACCTCTGCCTTTTGCGACAACGTTATTGAGAGTACATGGTGCTCAGAGAGAGGAAGAGAAAAGAAGAAAACAACCTAGTAATTGTGAAAGAATAAACATTTTTAGTTATGGACAAGTTAAATTATGTTCCACTGGCTTGATAACTCATGTGGTACAAAATGAGCAAACTAAATCAACTGAAGGAGAACATTTACTTAAAAACAGTATTCAGCCTGGTTCTGCGAGTGCCAAAGAAACATTTGTAAATAGAGCATGCCATTC